ACAGTGAAGGGACACTCGTATAGGTTGTCTTTTATGCTATTATTCCTCAAGATTTATTTCCAATGGCATGGTCACGTAGCACACAGAGAGCCAAGAGAAAATAATCGAGAGACGGATCGATTTTGTGCGCGTGCATATGTCGAGGTACAATATTACTCGTGTATCGACGAAGAGGAGAGCAATAGAGGTCTCTGACTGGATCAGAATATTGCTCCTCTCGAGCGAAGGATCTTGGATGCTTTCTCCACACAGTGGGGATAATCGTAAAACGCAACGATACACTTCTTCGATCACGAAGAATTTCTTCGATCTCTTAACGCTAGAAGAACGAAAAGAAAAGTGACAAATGTTCTCTTGGCGCGCCACGATTATTTCTTCTCGTAATAATATTGTTTCGTAAACGCGAAACACACGCGTAGAGAAAATGAAAAATAGAAATTATTCGCATCTATTTGATCGATATCTTCCTAAGCGGTCTTTGCGTGCTCACGTGACGCTTTTTTTTTTCTCTATGGCTTCTCTTTTGTTCCATTTTTTTTTTTTTGTTATTTGTTTGGTTTTCGCTTCGTTTTATTTATTTATTTATTATTATTTTTTTTTTAATATTCTTCCTCTTTGTTCTTCTTTATTTATTATTCTTTGTTTTTGTCTTTTTTTTCTTTTTTTTTCTTTTTTGCTTCGTATTACAATAAAAAGCCGACTTTCTTTTTTTCTTTTTGATTCTGGGCCCCGAGGATCGCAATTCCTACCGATAAAAAGTCGAACGATGAATCCTTCCGTTCGTTGATTACAACAACAATAATAATAATAATCGTAATAATAGTAATAAAGTGTCAAACACGATATAGCATTTAAAATAAGATTTTCACCGATCACAATGAGACGATTGCCAGAAGCTTATCATATCGATATTACAATACTGAATAAAAAGTCAAGAGTGGCGTGTTTCAAAGTTTTCTCTCGGCTTTTTTCATCACTTTCACCTCGTTTCCTCTCACTCGTTTTATTTTACTTTATTTATTTATTTATTTATTTATTTTTTTTTTTTTTGGTTGTCTTTTTCCCTTTTCTTGAATTCTTGTTCGTACTTCCGCCGTCGCGACGATTATATCTCTTCCTCTATTCGTTCGGTTCGTGTTTGTGCGAGATTTGGAAATTCGCACCGGGTCGAGGAGAACGAACGAGTTGAAAAGTTTCGTTTTCCACGTTTTCAACGTACAAAAATTTCGCAAACAAGCATTCGTCAGCACCTTTCGTTGCACCTTGACAAGCATCGTGTTCATGTGTATGCATATTAACGTGTCAAGAAAGAAGAAAAATTACGAAGAGCAGTCTCTCTCTATATTCAATATTTATAAGAAAATTTCATGCGAAGAAAACTCATTTTTTTTTTTTTTTTTTTTTGCGATCTCTAATCTCGAGTTTTCTTTATCTATCAGATGTGTTAATATGTATACATACATATATATGTATATACATATATACCTATATGTATATATATATATATGCATGTATTATGTATACTTAAGTACTAGGCAGTCAAGGTATGCAACAATAAAAAGAACACCGTTTTACGATATTTTTTTTCTTTCTCTATACCGAGTGTGAACACTGGACAGAGGAATTCGCTGGCGCTTGCGAGACGCGAGAGAACAGAGAACTCGATTATCACGAGGATGGTTTTTCTTGTTGTTGCTGTTTTTTTTTTTTTGTTTTTGTTTTTGTTTCGTCAATGGAAAGAAAAGAGAGTTTTCGTGCCGCAAGGATAGGATAATCAGGTACTAGGAACAGCCCCTAAGAAGTTCCGATCCTTTAGGCGAAAGAAAAAGATTCTTTACCTTATCTCCTCTTTTTCTCTTCTTTGTTCACGCGATCCAATCGAGAAGGATTTGACAACCTATACAGACATATTTCTTCATCATTATTAAACTATAAGATGTGTATCATGCCATATCCTTTTTGCCTATTATCCTTACATTAGATCATTATACAATATTTCAATCGTTTAACACGTTTAGGATCATCATTAGGATGATTCAACACTTTAATCCAAGCGTTTATTAAATATACGTGTATCTTTCTTTCTTTCTTTTTTTTTTTTTTTTTTTTA